GATCTATAACTTTAATCATATGTACATTCTAACAGTGAAAGACAGAATCCCAAAGAAAATTCCAGAAAATCACATCATATGATTTTATAAAAATTGATAACCATCTGATGAGGAAAAATAAGCATTCTTTGTAAAGTGGCCAAACCTGCAAAATCAGCAAGGGGTCAAATACTTATTTCCCCCACTGTACATCCTTCCCCCCCTCCCGGTAGACAAAAATAATAAAGACAGCATTTGAGACACCCAAACAGACAAAATCATCCAAAAAACCGGCAGGATATGTCTTTACATTTTCAGATAAGGGCGTCAAAAGGCTGCTACTCTGCTCGGTGTGACTGTGATATTTTATTCTGTTTGGCTCTCGGTTCTACCACTGCTTCTATTCCTAACGTGCAAAAAAAGGGAAAAGAAAAGCACTTAAGACCGAGACCACTGGAGAGAATAAATTGGATACAAGAGGTCTGATGACGGACTGTTCAGTTCTGTGTTTCGTCGATGATAAAAGGCAGAGTTTCTGGAGCTCGGCCTCCGCGGAGATGCCGGGGAAATGCCCTCATCACTGGCAAACCTACCCCGCTTGAGAGATGGTTTCAAAGCTCTTAGTGTTTCCAAGGAGACAACAGCTAGCATCACTCGCAGAGCGGGTTTTTGATGTGAGCTACACAGAGGTTTTCCACCTGCACGACGGGAACTATTTCATCTACGGCTTTGGCTCTTCAGCTTCCGTCTCACGCACAGGTTCCCAAAACATTCAGCGGTGAACGTTTAAGTGCCTGAGCCGATGAAACTGAACCTGAAAACTTCTCACGAACATGCTTTAATTCCATATCCTCTGAAATGACAAACACTTTCTGTTCGTTTAGCTATCAAAGCCCAGCTGGATGAGCCCTACAGGAGGTATTTGCAGTATTAAGCCATGCTGTTCACCTCAGATTCTATTTACCAAACTCCAATCCTCACAAGCATCATTATCTATTCAAATTATTATTGCCATACTCTGACACGTTGAGTTATATTCTTGTAATAATTTGCCCCATATGTTAACACAGAGAAATAAAACAGCATCAGAAGACATTTGAAGTTAGAAATGTGAGGCTGATCCACATAAACTAAATGTATATATAGTTCTGCACCAGTTAGTGATGCGCCTCCACCCATCAGTCATCTTCCATGTTCCTCCATCTTCTGTTTGCTTGAGCTTTTTTCACCTCCTCCTCCCTGTGTGTGTTCAGTCCACACACACGTGCACACAGAGGGCCGTGACAGTGGAGGGAGGAGGTCCTGGTATGTGCAGGGGGGGGGGGGGGGGGGGGGAAAAAAGAGAGCCTCGGCCTGGCTGCCAGGTTTCGATCTCCCTCACCTTTCTCCTCAGCGAACAAACGGGCTTCTGTTCTGCTCGTGTCAGCACGGCGGCGGACTCGAACACATTTATCCACGAATTCATGCCCAAAACCGGGCAGAAGACAAAGGCCGGATCCCCGGATAGGAATTTTCTTTCTGTTCATCAGAAACAAATGTGGAAACGAAAAAAACAACTGATTTGTAAACCACTACTTGTTTGCCAAGTGGCCAGGACTCCCCGGGTTACATTAAAGTGTAAAAGCAGCAGCTTCTTCTTGTGGGGCAAATATTTTTTTCACCAGAGAAAACCACAAAAAATGACACATGCTATTAGAACAGCTCTCATGTCTTCCATAGCAGATATTCATCCATTCCTCTTTTGTTCTTTAAAGGAGATGCCACCATCATCCTGGGTGATACAACAGCGGAACAAAGGGCGACAAAATTAATTTTTCTGTTAAAGTTTTTCTCCAGAATAAGGATTTGTCTTTTCAAGTGCACGGCTCAGTGGAGCTGGATTGTAATGTCGGATAATGAACGAATCGACGGTGGGCTTCTCTGTTCAGAGCTCCATATCTTACCTTCAGCTGCGAATAACCAGCAGCACAGCCACTTCTGAGACTCATATTCAAGAATATTTGACATTTGAACTCGTCAGATAAAACCTCACAACATCTTTGGTCAGATGGAGTCTTTAGCATGACGGTCTGCAGATGCAGAACAACCGATCACTTGAATTTGCCATTTTATGTTGTTTTTTAATCTATTTTGTTGTATTTTAAAAGTTAGAAATCATGCAAAATGTGGCTATAGCACATTTTCTACGGACTATGTGGCAAATGAAATTATGGAACCTTGAAAAATTGTAAAATCATTGCTAGATTTTACCTTTTTTGCTTGCTTTGTTGTGTTGCATGAAAGGCTTCCATCTTCCTTAAAACAGCACCTCCGATTTTTCTTTTGGAGAACATTTTCAAACATTCTATCCAACAAAGAGAGAGAGAAAGAAAAGTGAGAAGGTTAAACGCAACCAAAATATTTTCGCAAAAGAATGACGTGGAGTTTTATTCTTCGTGATGTTTCACATCTTTGATCGCAGTGAAAAGAGAATAAGGTCACAAACAACCAAAACACAAAGAGGAAGCCTTGTTCTTATAATAGATTAGGTAACACTCGGCCTAGACTGTAACATTATGATTAAACATGGAGAACCAGTGATGATATGCATGTCCTATCATGTCATATAGTTGCATCATGAGTAAATGTTGGTGACCACAGGACCTGAAATCAGCCACAGAACAGCATGAACAACCTTTCTGGGTTTAAAACAGATGATGATTAAGATTTATCAGATCCGGCGGGATGTTGCCAAAACCCGTTAAAGTCACCTATAGCTCTTAAGCAGAAAATTTGAAAGCCGGATGACTCCATCTCCGGAGCTCATCTTTACAGACAGGAGAAAATGAAGCCATTTGTTGTCTCCGAGGGTCTCGGGCTGAGCGGTTCATTGAGACATTAACCTTTCCTGCTGATAGCTGCCGCGGTGCAATGACAGCTCAATGATAAAAAACAAAATGACTGAAATGAGACGGAGCTCCTCCTCGGCTGGCAGCACATCGAAGCTTTCACCAGACTCTCAGCGGCTTCTGCTGACCTACTGAACAAGAGAATGCCACGTTCATGGCAATAGAGAGGAGAAACTAATGAATTTTGTGTTTAAAAAAAAGGGCTCCGGCCCTCCAGAAAGCCCAAAAAATGAAAGGATGTGCACTGAGATAAGAATAAGCACACAAATTAATACAGAGACCAGAGAACAAAATTGAATAAAAGAACAAAATACTCAGAAATGTATGTACTTCAACATGTTATGTAGTTTTAAATGTAAATTTCAGCAATTGAAAGAGTTTGGAAGTCTAAATCCTCTTATTCAACATAGTTTTTATTACTTAAAAATATATATATAAATAAACATCCCACGGGCTTGCACTCCATTAACCTGACAGCAGCCACAGCATGAAGAATAATCCAATGAAATGAAGGTTTTCTCCTTCGTGACTGAGCTTCAGCCTTTGTTTAATTTATCTGGAGAGGTCGAGCGAGTTTGAGTCTCGGCTGAATGAAAATAAACACTGTGTCGAGTGTAAAAAGACAGCAAAAATATCCTGATTTAATAGCCCTCCTGCACCTCTTGGGAAATTCTTTGATTCACGATTCCATCACCGCGTGGAGCCGGAACTTTCAAAGAGAAGCAGGATTATGGAAAAACAAACACAGAGACAGCCGGAGACGGGACGGTGTGAGCAACAGACAGGAAGTCAGCGCTTAAGGTTTTAACCAGTAGGATGTGATACCTGCCGCAGCATCCACGACTCCATATTTTTAAAAGAAAAATATAGGCCCCCGACTCCCGAAGGAGGGCATTGATTTTTCCACATGTCGGATTCCCGGATGTGTACACGCAAGCACGTGTTTGAGGAAATAATGAAAAGTCAACACATTAAATGGGAGGCCCCAGAGTCCCTTATTTGTACAGATTATCCTTGGATTTTTGAAGCCGGGCGCAGAGCTGCGCGCGGTTTCTGTAAGCCCCGTCACCCTGGGGGAGCTCATTACCGGCACTCCGGGCTGCGATTTGAAGCCTGTCAGCCTGCTCTCTGCTGTAATTAATTCCACTTCTTTTGGCCCCCTTTTTTCTCCTCCATTAATCTGTGTATTTAATTAAGGTCTGCTTGCTTTAGCGTAGAGAAGTTAAGGACGGAAAAAGGACCGGAGAGGAAAGAAATTAGAAAATGAGCCTCAAACTTCCAGCTGATACTTATTTAAAGATGTTTTGCATTTTCTAAGGCAGTGTTTCGAAACCCTGATCTTCAAGGCTCACTGTCCTGCTTTTCTTCCAAGTTCCCCGTTCTCCCGTACGTCTGATTCAAACGAATGGCTTTTCTTCTGCCTTCTGCAGAGCTTAAAGAACTGGAAATCTTGCAGTATTCATTCCTCTGGAAGATCTGAAGTTCAACAGAGAGGTATAGGGGGTTTGATTTCCAACTATCTCTTCAGGATCAAAGTGGAAAAATCCACCTTCCAAACCTATGAAGCTAAAAGTTTGGAAACATTTTTTTTTGGATGGTGAAAATAGTGTCCAGGACACCGACAGAATAACTGATAAAGGACCACTTTGACGACTGAATTGGGCGCGTTTGTTTCTTCAGAAGGGTATATTGTTTAATGAAGTGGGTCGATGTCATTTAAGGTGCAACAGCAGGGTTTACTTTTTCTCTGGGTTGGCGTTACGTTAATTAACTTTTCTAGATCTCTGATCTGAAAAGGGCAGGAGACATCAGGAAAGCGGAGCTCCGGGAAACATCACAAAAAAGCCCATTCCTAATTCAAAACCCTTTGAGATGCGTCTTTCCACTGAATCAAACAGGCTGAAACTGAGCTGGATTCTCCTTTCCTCAGATCCACCGGTGTCTTCCGACTGTGGAGGATCTCCTCCTCTCGCTGCATTTCTCAGCTGCTGAATTCTCCGGGTGCTTTCTGATAACGCACCATACGCGATAGCCTTTTGCTCCCTCTACTGATAAGAAACACCAGAAACACTTGCGTCCCGCTCGGCGTGCGGAGCCCAACAGCAGCTCGATTCCCACAACGTGTACAAATACTTCCATTTTATTTAGTCTTTTCCACAAAAGTAAGCGGTCACAAGAAAAGGCGTTCAGGCCGATACTACCACATTATACAGTACTGACGCAAAAACAGCCAGAAGCTTAGACAGACAGTGTCATTCAGTGGTCTCAACATTTGGAAATCTGAGTAGAGCTCCATTCGTTTTTGGCAAGCTTTGGTTAAAAAACATATATTTGATCAAACCATGAAAATACAGGCAGGAGATGTCGCACAGTTATGGATTCAACTTTGATTCCGTTTGTTTGCTTCTTTAGGATATTCTGATCACTTCTTAAGTCTTAAATCTGCACAGGGAGTGTGAATAAATATGAGATGTTAAGAGTGGTGAGAGACAGCGGAGCAAACTGGAGCAGCTGTAACGCGTTCAAAGGTACAATGGCTGAGAGGGCTCAAAACACTTGGAGCCAAAGGAGCACATGCATGTAGATGACCAGGCTACAAATAAAAACATCAACACGACGACTGGAAAGACGAGAACTTCGGCGAGTGGACAGAAGACAAAGAGATCTTTGACTTCCAAAGTTCTTTAAAGTAGAATAAAGATCCTTTTTGTGACAATTTCCTGAGGACTAGGCTTGATTTGGTGAAAAAAAAGGGTTTAGAGCTGTCTTTATATCTCTGATCAAATAGCGGGATTTCTTTTTTTTTCTATAGACCATATTTGATATAACAAATCACACTGTGAAAAGACTCAAATAACATTATCAGTGGCAGCAAACTGAGCTCCAAAACTACCAGACATCAAAGATACTTCACACTTGTCACTAGTCGAGCTCAGCTGGGCCAAGCTGTTGACAGTGTGCCACATAGAAGAAGGCTGGTTGGTTCTGGCCCCATATATATATATATATATATATATGCTTTCAAGGCCAAAAACTCAGTATTTTCAACGTCAAAGTTGACTTTCTTTGAGCAAATAATTCAAACTTGAACAGAGATATGCTTTAACCACTTTTTGTAAATCTAGCAAAAAGACTCTTAATGCTTTAACTCGTTAGTTGTGGGTTCTGCGTCTCTCTCGTTTGTGCCCCTGGAAACCAAAAAAGCTTTCCAGCTCTTTGGATGTCTGTTTGCACATGACAACAACCGAAGCGTCGGAGTGACGTTTTTTCATTTGTGGCGCAGTCATCTCTCGTGCATGTGTGCTGAGTTTTTCCTTACCAGCGTAAAAAAAGTCAGACAGTGACCAGAAACTGTTCAGTTTAGCCCTGAAAGTAATATTTTACTTTATACGTGCAGTGAAGATGTAAAAAAAAAGAAAGAGACTCATTTGTTTCGGCAAATTGGTTTGCATCTGCGGGTAATTAATTATTTAGTCCGTGAATCTTCTCTAAGATGATCAGTTGATTCAGTATTAATGAACCGGATTAAAAACGTCTAGGAAATTTTGGCTCTCTGAAATGAGGAGGACCAGAGTGAGGGACAACCTGAAGAGAGAGGAGAAGGTGAGGCTTGTTTTACAAATAAATAGAACAGGTTTGACACATGCGACGAGGAAGTCGTATCTAAAAAAAAAAAAATCCGTTGTTTTCTTTTTGGGAGAAAAAAGTGTCTAAGTGTTCGTTCCACAGTTCTTAACCAAAACGGTTCAAAATGTCGCTTTACAAAAAATCGCTGTGCCTACCGAAGTATAAAAATACAGAACTGTGCAAGACAGGAGCTGCTGGGAGTCTGGGGCAGTTGGGCAGAGTTGGGAGAGCTGAGGGACCACGCAGCAGCTTTTTTTTTGTTTTAGTTTTTTTCCAAAAAGCTCCAAAGGGAGTGAGGTGAGAGGGGCCCAGAGCTCAGATGGCGTAGTCCTCCTGAACGGCGGGGCTGAAGGCGGAGCTCCGCAGCACGTCCAGGCAGTTGACCAGGATGAGCGTGCCGGTCAGGTGCTTCCAGCGTTTGGTGATGGGGCTCTTCATTTTGTCCAGGCCCATGTGCAGCTCCTGGATCACGTCTCGGTAGCTGTCGCCGATCTGAGCGGCCCACGTGACCAGGAAGTCGTACGCCGGCTTCCACATGGCCTGCAGACGATTGGACAAACACAGGACCATCTTCAGAAGTGGGTCAGCAGGCTGGAGCTCTATGGCTCTGACCTCGTAGCCTGATAGGGACTAGATGGACTTCATCTTTTTTTTACAAATCTCTACACAAAACAATACGCTTGTGCTGGTTACCGGGGAAACGTAATGTAAACTCTACATTTCATTCACAGCTGCTGTGGCCAATCGTTTGCTGAACCACAAACTTTACATATGAAAAACTAGCAATGTGCCATTCATAAGAGGGTTTTAGTCACATTTTCATATTCTCAACAAACTAAGCTGCCTAAAGGAACACCAAGGTGTTGAGTTCTATAGGACAAGGGGAATAATCCCCAGAATGAACTCACCGTAGTTTTATTTGTCTCTAAGTTTAGTTTTGTACATTGATTAACATTAAATGATATCATTCTTTTAAAGGGTTCTATGCATCTAATGCTGGTGTACCTCGCTGTCCACCACGCCGTTCTTGTCGCGGTGTGGGGCCTCGTAAGCGTCCATCTGCTGGCGGGAGACTTTGACCAGCCTCTCGGCCAGCTCCCTCCAGCGTCCGGCCACTTCCACGGCTGTGGTCAGGAGGACAAAGTCCATGACCAGCCTAGCCACGAGGCCCTGACAGTCCATCTTCAACAGAGCCTGTAGAGAGAAGGAAAAAAAAAACAGGAGTTCTTCACATAAAGAAAAGAATGGAGGGAGGTTTCAAGAAATAAACAGGGATCTAGAAGATAAGTGCTGAAAAAGCTCCGTCGGGGAGTCAGCAGAGGGGGTGAGAGAGAAGATGACAGTGAAATGTTCACAAAGAGGTGGAGATAAAAGTGGTCTCCACAAAGAGACCGACAAATCTGCATCTGCAGGTTTCACTCCACTGACTCCCTCCTGTTATTTTCCTCAACCAATGTCACCTCTGTGCATCTTTAAAATGCTTTCTGTAGTAAACAGAAGCAGAGGGCACACATGTCTGAACGCCTGAAACCGAGGGAAGAAAAACTGTTCGTCAACAGTGCAAGACAAAACTGAGCAGATCCAGAACGTGTCGTCTTAAATCGCCTTCATTTGACATTCAAGTCGCAATTACTCTGGATTTAGACTTTTACTCATGTGAGGAATCTTTTGATAAAAAGCATGAACCTTCCCGTCTCTCTTTTTCTGGACAGGCTGAACACCGTCTCTATCCCCAGGCCAGCACTGCGAGAAAAGGAAAAAAAGGAATCCTGCCAAAGTGACTCCTGCTTTTTTTGGGTTTAACTGGTCTGGACAGAAGCCTGGCCCCTCCCACCGGCCCCTGTAACCTCGCTGTCTGTGTCAATTCTGCCCGGACGGCTGCTGATGATGGTGGGAAAAGAAAATGCTGCAGGAATAATGCCGTCCCCCGCGGTGGGGAACACCCCCGGCGCTTCTCGGGAGGTTTGCAAATAGAAAGGTGGCTCATGCAAATGCAAGTGCACGTCCCTCTGATGTTCACTCAGGCAGCATACTTACAGGTGCACACACACACACACACATATTTGCACATATACGCCTGAAGAATAAGAACAGGAAATGGCACAAGTCAGGGCTAGTCTTTGAGACAACTTCTAAATTCCCTTTATATTAACCCCTGGACTTTGGGAGACTCCACCAGGGCGACGTCACCCACAGAAATACAAGCCTCAATCCAATTTTTATACAGGTCTGACCTGTTATTTTGTCCTTTTTCGGAGCAGAGTCAAAACAATTTATTCTGTTTTGTAAAAAGATCCACCCTTTGGAAATATCTTCTCTGCAGAAAGCTACCTCCTCTTTCACACAAATCATAACTTCCCCAAAACCCCAAAACGTCCCCATCTTTTCTACAAATCTTCAAACAAAAAGGGGCTCCGGAGACGCCCATTCGGATGCAGCTTCAGACTCAACAAAGCAAAGGTGACTGTCGTGGTCCATCCGGGCCCCCGCTGGACGCGCAGGAATGTGAGGAACGGCAGGATGTGAAGGAGGGGTGAGGATGGGGAGGGGGTGAGGAATGCAGATTCCATGCTTACTCTGGGATGATGAGATAGTGGCAGCTGTGAGCCAATCGGACGCTCGCTTTTGCTCGGTAGGAATGCCGAGCTGCCATCACATCGTATCAAAGTTAAAGGCTAAGGCGCTTCGGTCAGCTCTGCCCGACTCATGCGGTTAGCCCGTTTAATCTCTGTACAACTGGACAGGAAGTGACTTTTTCTTCAAATCACTGAACAAATGTCCTCTGCTCATCAAGAGAAACCCGGACCCCATCCTCAGTGTGAAGCACAGTGGTGGTACAATCATGGTCGGGGAATGTTTCTCAATAAATGAAACACCCAAAAGATGCAAAGCACTTCAGAATCCATCACACCTATAATTAGCAACTATTTAACTTCTGAGCGAGGTTTTATTAGTTTTTTAATATTTGTTTGATAACTTATTCAGTCCCCACTTTGAGGATATTACACAGCCCAAATCACCATAATATTATCACATTTTTATGCTAATTTCAGTCATTTGTCTACTTCTAAGTCAATTTCAATTTGTCTGAGTGTTGCTTTGACTGCTTTTTATGTTTAATTCTGTTGCTTTTTGGTAATTACTCTTAGAATATTTTTGGTTTGTGTTCTGTGAGCGACTTTGTGCTTTAAGTGACATCTGATTATTGATGGAGTTGACTTCTTAGAAAAGTCGTTTTTTTTACTTTTCTGAGAGACAGGAAACAGATCCAAATCCAAAAGCTGCTCGGGAACCAGAGTATTCCCATCAGGAGTGTCTGATTGGTGGAGTTTAAATCACGAACGATGCTAAACCTCTGAGACAAACTGGGAGACACAGTCATTGGGATTGGTTTGAATCCGTCTGAATCACTTTGAGTGATGGATTTTGGGGCGTTCTGGTGAGTAGTGGTGGTCTGACCAGCTCCGACAGCTTTGCATATTTCTACGTCTTCTTTGTCTGAAGTATTTACCGCCGTCCTCGGCGGGTGTCTGAGTCGGGCTTTAATTCTCATTGTGCAGACGGAGCTGAGCACACTGTCGTCACCACGATTTAAACGCTTTTACTCACAGCCATTATCTCGGGAGGACTTCCATGCGGTGCAGTTTTTCCTAAATGTCAGCTGGTATACGTGCTGTGGGAATGCGCCTTGGTTAAATAGCGCATAGTTTGTTACACCAGCTCAGCAATCAGCACTCTGAAGCCCTGCGGCCTCTCCCGCTGCATGAATAATCTGCTTGTCAAAACAAGGGGGAAAATTCCCGCGGACATATTTTCAGAGATAAGGATTGTGTGGAAATTAATTAGGCGGGTGGCTCAATCACGTCTCTGCATACCAGAGTTTCTGTGTGTTTTCTGCTGATGAAAACGGTGCCGGGGCTGAGCTGTAATCTCCTTCGGATAGACGACCTGTATCTCCTGTCGTCCTGTTTCTATTTTTTATCCCCCTTTAAAAAAGCGGCAATCTCCCCACTTCAATCTTCTTCTATTATGTGTCAATCCCGTTTTAATGTCCATCTGACTCTTTCCAGGTCCCCGTTTTGCTCCGTCCATCTCACCTGAGGTGGGACTTTGCAATTTGATACCTTATGTTTGTGCTCGCTGCTTCCTAAAAACGGAAACCTTGGAGAGATTAAAGATTGCAGTTGCCGGTTGTGACCCTGCACATAAACTTTCCTCATTCTTCATTAACTGGCTCCCGGACGACTCCGAAAACCAGCCAGGACCTCCCGAGACTCGGCGATCTGTCGTGCATTCAGTTATTCCAAAAGCATTAAGATCGCCACACCCAACCACTAAAGGAGGGAGAGGAGGAAGTGAAAGAGGCCAAGAACCATGGAGGGAAAAGAGTTTATCAGTGCACAAAAATGGCAGAGAAGCAGAGAAGCAGAGGGCGCTAATCGCCGATAATGGGCCTCTCCAGTTTTCAGCTCTCCTCCAGAAATAGGATGTTATTGTAATTCCCAGGCTCTATCTGCCACTGATCTCACAGCAAATAATTCACAAGGGTCAGACGCTCTGGTGCAGAGCTGAGTGAGAGCTTTGAAATGAAAATCCCCCTCTCTCTCTCAGAGATATAACAAAGACGGCCCCTCTGTGGGCGAAGGCCTCAGCGCACACGGGTTCTGCGGCCGGTGCTTCTGTCTGTCCTACAAGAGGACGAAGAGCGGGGAGGAGGAGGAGGAGGTGGGATGAGGAGTTCAGTTTCAGGGTAGAAGAGGGTGTGTTTACAATGCTCATTTTGAGGTTTCAAATTAGAAAACAATGAAAAATGGGGTGTGGAAATAAGAGATTTTGAAGTCCTGATGTGGAACATTTTATTGGTGGCAAGCGCTGTCGCCCTACCTTGGTTTAAAATGAGTCATCAGAGGCTCCGACTCAGCTAACACAGGACAGCAAGAGGTTCAACCATCAATTCTCTCGATTCGTTTCATCAGTGAGGGCTATTTATCTGCCCTGTTCCAGGGAGGAGGGAGCAGGATGGCAGTGTCCATACTAAAAAAATCCAGTTACTCACCAGAACACATTCCTTTATCAAACCTCCCCTGAGCTCCGGTCTTACGGCAAAAAAAAAGACATAACTCACCGTTTAGCCTTGAAAACACCTGCAACCACACAAAGACTTTCAATGAACGTCATTCAATTTAGTTTGAATGCAGCCCCATTTCAGCTCTGAATATTCCCGGCCGTCTCCAACATTTTCCCATCAGCTGTCACTAAAATGTTTTTTACAGTCTGTTTTTACTTTCTGACACAGGTTTAGTCATCTGGGCGAAACCTGAACGTGTCGGGACATCGTGGAGGGGGAGAGGCTGGAGCCACGCGGGCACCAGGTGGGTTCTTTACGTTCTGGTTTTCTACAAACCTGCACGGGCTTCAAAAGGCGGAGGAAACCTGTGAGGACTCGCCCGGACGTTCCAAATAGCGTGGCGGCGCGTGTTGATCGTGACTGCGTGCTGAAACCGCGTCCTCTCCTCGTCTGAGGCAAAAAATCTCTGCAGTCCCTGCAGCTGATCGTTTCCCAAGGAGACGTTCATAGCCGGTTTCCTACCGGTTTATCAAACAAACTCAATCTGATGGCAGGAATCTCTTTACCATCAGTGCTGCAGTGACATTTGTCTGCCTGGTTCTAACCTCGTTAGCGGGTATCAAGATACAAAAACATGTTTTTCACCCTGTAACAGTTCTGAGTCCTCTCTCTGCTGCACACACATGGGTTCTCACAGTGAGTGGAGCTCTGCTTCTTGTGCCAGCGCTCCCCCACAGCCAGCGGATCAAAGTAGCTTTATGTTTTGATTTTCATGCATTTCCCATCTGAAAGGCATTTGTCTCATAATCCCACAAGGAATGTGGAGTCTGGTTCAATTCGCATCAAGAGCTGGGAAGGATACGTATCATTTGTCCAAAATAAAAAAAAGTCCAGTTTACTGTCTACTAAAAAGTTCGACTCTTCCATCTGCCGTGATCAGAGTGATTTGTTAAGTAATTCACCTGCCACAGAGGCCGGGTCGGAGTCTGTGATTGGCCCGCTGCAGAAAAAGGGTCTGGGTCAAGGAGGATTATGGGAAGGACAATGGGGCCGTGCGGACTGGAGGCGCCTGCACGTCCACCACAGAAGCCTCTGTTTAGTTTGTTAACAATGAGGCAGGAAACATCTGCAGGCCCGGCGTCCCGCAGACACAACCTGGATGCTCGCCATCATCCGCCGACAACAACAACAACAAAAAACCTCCTCGCTCTGCATTATTACCTGGGAATCTCTGGAATTAAAGCATTGCTGCTTGTAGCCAGGCTGTTTAGACATACCAATCCTCCTACAGTTTGACAGCAAAAAGCAAATCACTCAGGGGATCCTGAAGAAGCAGTTAAATGTGACTCAAGATGTGTTTTCTCTTTCACAGTTTGATAAAATAAAATAATAAAAACAGGGCCAAATGTCAAATTTACCTGAAAACAATTACACGTTGTTAACGTCATGTCGGGCTGCTCACATGGTGATGTCAGAGCCAGTTGTTTCAGAAAAAGAGAGACGGTCTCCAAGTAATTACAGGAAAAGGATTCCATGGTGCAAATATAGATTTTTAAATAAACAATGCAAACACGGTGGCAGAGCCTGCTGACGAGTGAGAGGCCGCTTCCTCTATGTCATCCTGTGCATTCGTTCAGCGTTTGCTCTCCATCCCTCTGTCTGCTCACCACCTGTCAACTCAGTGCCCCTGTCAGCTCATTAGAAGCAAAAATACTCTAAGCCAGAACAGGATTAAAATGTATGAAAAGAGGTTAAAAAGGGCGGTTAATGAAAACAACCCCGATTTTTGTGGTTATGGGATCATACCCTGTGGCCTATTCGGAGAAGCATGGTCTTCTCCATGGTATTGTTTTGTCTCATAAAGAATTGACCAAGCGATGCTCAACAGAGGCACGGTCCAGCAATTTTCATCTTTCTTTGACAACGGAATGTCCAGGGAAATCAATCCGAGTGCGGACCCTCACCTGAGATCCAAGACCTGGGCCAGTTCCACAAAGGTTAAAAAAGGAAGAATTCCCACTTGGTGTTTTGTGACACATGGCAATTTCTATGATTATTCATTTACTCTTTTTTTATTGACTGGGTGAGGCGTGGACCAAACAGGTAGCTGTTCCTACAGGCCCCTCTGAGCCAGGCCTGAACCTGCCTGCGCCTGGACAGAAACCCTTTTGACTGATGCGCCTCCGAGCAAAAACAAGTCACGTGCGGTTCATGTGAAAGCACGGCTAATCGTCGCCTCACTTCAGTGAGCAACGGAAACCTCCTTTAATATTGAAACGACGAGAGGTTTCTGTTTCTGTGGAAACTCGCAACAGGGAGCCTCTGCGTCTTTTCCCTCTCAAAGCTCAGCAAACGCGATAAACAAAGCGAACTGACAGTTTAGCTGCTTGTCTCATCGGTTTCGGCGCTGGAATGTTTATGTGTACCTTAAAATCTAAGGGGTTTCATCCTCTCAGCAGCCGGGAAAACAGACTGCTTCCTGTCTGTTAGAGCTCGGGCAGGAGGAATGATTATTTTTCATCAGCAACAAATCTGTTCTGCACTTAACTGTTTAAGAGCTTTGACAAATATTGGAGATCATTCAAGGCTAAGCGCCCAGATTAAAAAGGCTCATTATTCAACTGGCAATTTGGGCAAAAGTGGGCAGCTTTAGGGAGTCCTAAAGCAGAGGAGGAAGTGCGTATACATCTAACTATATGGGCACACACTGCTCTGCTTCTCCTTTCCTCCGCTAGCAATCAAAGCGGACCAGAATGGATTCCGACATTTTAACACAAAAGGCGGTGCGAACCCAGCGCTTTTGATTCAGCTCTCTTTCTTCTACAAATAGACTTTCGGCCATATCAAAAGGAAGCCGAGCCAATTGTCAGTGAGTATCGTCACTGATACAAGAAGCTATACAAGAAGATTCCATTTGGCAATCCTTCTATCTGCTACTCTTTATTCCACAGCCCACTCACTCCGTAAAAATCCATTTTTCGGGGGGCAAAACAAACATCTCCTATATCTTAACATCACAAGAGCCGGAATGCTGGCGTTGGCAGAAGAAACAGCCTTCACAAATTTTAAAATGAATGGGTTGCTGCATGCCATGATTACCTCCACAGAGTTTATGTGTAATCCAGACTGAAATAAGAGAAAACCAGGCCTACAGTCAAACTTTCCCATACGGCATACTTTCATTCCCCACCTTTTATTATGTCCTCTTGCATACAGCAGTTTCTCTGACTATAAATGGTTCTAAGTAGTGTTTACAACCTTGTGTAAATTACAGTGTTTCTGCTCTCTGTTACTTCGGCTGTAGTACATTTTGTGACCTCTGATGGAGACTCTCAGGAGGATTATATACTGACACAGTGTCAAACAGTCGTTAAAAAGCAGACGCACACTTTTCAAAAAGCCTTCACTGTTTTAGAGTGAAAGGTTCGGGCCCAAAAACAGTGTGAAGCATTAAAATGCTAAGAGTTATAGTGCATGGGGCCATCAGCTTAAAAGCTGAATACGATAGGAGCATTTACTGTGTTCCACCATCTGTGGAGGGGACTACCTGCCAGATGCAAGGCACAAACTATACATTTGAGACAGAAAATGGATTCAAATGCCAGAGAGAGCTATTTTACATGTATGCAGCTAACACTGAATACAAAGTGCTCCTCCTCACTCCTCCTTTCTTCATGAATTGACAGAATATCAGCAAAAACACTGCAGCAGGTTTTTGAAACATGCAAACAGAAATGGAAATACGAAGCATTGGCCAAAAACACAGTTTGTACTACTCTAATGAGATTTAAATTCAAATAGTCGAAACTTCCTCGGAAGAACTGGACTGACAAAGAGAAGGGAAAAAAAGCAAATATCCAAAGAAGATCTGACAGATCTTCAGACAGCCTGAGGAACTATTACTTAAGACCACTTTAAAAGATTACAATGACAATATACTAGAAGGAAAATAAGAAATATCAGAGGTGGAGACACACACCAGGCATGAACAGCACTCCCATTCATCCATTTGTTTATGTATATCATATTTTTTTTACAGGGAATTGGCAACGAATTGTCACGACTGCTTTTAGGTAATTTTTAACTGTTTAATGTGCTGATGTTTGATCTGATGCTTTAAAAGGGACCTTAAATTGCATACACAAGAAAAGGGGCCTGCTTCTTTAAGCCATTTCCCTGCCTGGTTTTGTTCCCTTCTAGTTTGATTTATATATCCATAAAGATTGATTGATTTATCAGATCGGCATGCCATATTCACACTGCACACGCTGCAACTCAAGCAATAGAAACAGCAATAGGGACAAAGTGTACCGCTGCTCCCCACGGCTCCTGAGGTCCCCATTAGACCCTGATGCCAACACAGCAGTTATTGACTGCACTCCCGGCCGAATTAACAGAGTGGATCACAGCTCGAAACCTGGAGCAGCTGTGAGCATGTCTCATTATCACAAAGGAACAATTGTACACAAAGGGAAATCTCCAACCAGGAGGACACACACGGAAACATATGGCTTCTTAATTGGACACATGAAGAACAAAACCAATCCAACTGGGGCTCGAAACTTAAAACAGGACTGTTCCGCATTTTTTCTTATCAGTGTCCTGGAGGAATTGCTAAGTCACTGCTCAAGAGGAGGATGCCAAGTCTGTAACTTACCGTCAGGAGTTCTTTCTGGAAAGACTTCCTCTCTTTGCTCTCTGCGTTGTTGCAGTCCTCCTTCAGTCTCTCCAGGACCGAAGCGACCCTCTCCGGCTCGCTGTCCAGCTCGGCGCGGCAGAAATGTGTCAGGGGCAGGTTGACGTATCCCAGGGCGTCTGCGAACGCTCGCCAGTTGCCGATGTTTTCCATCAGTATAGTTCTTACAGAGGCGTAGATGTAGGTGAGGAACTTGCAGGGCTTCAGTGTCTGCTCCAGCAACAACGAGGTCGTAAGGTCTGGCCCGTTAAAGTAAATGGGCTTGACTTTGCCGACCACCAGCACATTCTTGGCATGAACAAGTCCCATTTTACCTTGATAGTATCCAATGTACCACTCTTTTGTCCACAGCTGGCCCTTTAGCCTAATCCTCTCCTCACTCAGCAGTGCCACAAAGTCTCCTTTTTTGTACTCGAGCAGGTACTGATTTTTCGTTTGTCGGATGACAGTTTTGATTAATTTTCCAAATTTCAGGTTGTTTATTCTCCTGTCTTGGAAAACAGGGTATTTGGTGGCGACTGCAAGAGGAGACAAGACAATCTTTCCTACTTCCTTTTTCTTCAGAAAACGCCTTTGGGCTGATGTCTTTGGGCCTGCTTTGGGAGGCGGCGTTGGCGTCTGGACACAGAACTGAGCCAGTATACAATCTTGGTCGTCTTTGACTTGGATTCTTAAGGTGAAATCGGAAACATCTTCGGTGTTGCGTGACGAAATCACGTAGACCAACCGGCTCACTTTGCCTAGTTTAACCTGGAATCCCCGAACCACTCTGGCCTGCTCACTGGCCTTTACTTCGTAATTGGCCATGTTGGAGTAAACCCCCACGCGCAGGTCCTGCGGTCTGGACAAAACAAACTGGTGTTTTCCCCAAAGCTGAAGCGCGACAGGTGGTGCAGCGTGGCCCTGCTTACCGACCTCGCTCACCAACAGTGTCTTTGGGGCACAGTCATGCCCAAACATGGCCACAACTGTCTTGAAGGACGGGTGAATATGTTTGGGACCATACACTCCTAAGGTGATCTTTTTAACCACGTGTTCCCAAACTGTGGAGTTTGGAAGGATGGACTGGGCCTGGGCTACCACACACACATACATACATGGCTCCAGGTTGTCCAGGCACACCTGAACTGTGTCCCCGTACATGTAGGCCTGAGGAATGAGAGTGTAAGGTCCATCCTTACAATCACTCCTCACACAGAGAACTTCCGTCGTCTGCCTGCTCTCCATTTTTACGACTACTGAGACCTTCATCTCCAGGGTGATGGTGCTTTTGGTCTCCATGTTGCTAAGCTTGATCTCCACCACAGGGCTGACGGTTGTACAGCGATCATTGTTGAGCTCCAGTGGCGGGTCAAGCAGAGCTTTGATTGAGATTTGTTGGGTGTCCCCCGGCAACACGTGGCCCTCGGGTACGTGGATGCTGATGTGGGTGTCTGGAAGCTGGACTGCACCTCCCGTGCTGTCCAACCGACAGACGATGTTGGTCTCCACAGGCTGCGTTTGGCCCCAGCCTGGGTTCTGACCCAGAGAATCCAGATCATGGCAGGACCTGGCCAACTTGCGGTGAGTGAGCCAAGCAGTGCGAAAGTCCTCCCTGCTCTGGAACTGCTCTGGCGCTGGCGCTTTCAGGCCCCCAAAGAAACCGGTGGACGCCTGAGGGTCGCTCTGAGCCTGCAGGATGGACAGCTCAGACAGACTGTAGGAACGTTTGCTTCGAAAGAATGGGTTGTCCCTGCGAAACGATTGCCCTTCCCCCGCAGGGGGACTTAGAGGGTTAAAGTGAAAAAGACCACTGCCAAAGCCATTGTCTGCAGTGCTGCTGGTGGAGTTGGGCACTGACGGAGAGAGCGTATCAAACAGAAGAAGATCAATTGATTTCTCATTACTGTTCTGATCAAGTGAACTCTGAGGACCCCCATTCAGAAAAGGGTTTGTAGAGGTATGCTTTGTTGAGAAAGGATTTCCGTTTTGGAATGTGGTTGGTTTCAGAATCACCCCCGCCCACTCTCCCAAGAGGTCCATTTCTTTGGCTGCCTCCTCGTTACAGTCTCCCATGCTGTCGATCATCCCGCTGTCGCTGAAAGACGAGTCTCTGTAGTTGATGGGCTCTACGTACGCTGCAGGGATGTAACCCATCTCAGTGTTGTTGTGGGCATACCACCACTCTCCTCCTGATGAGTCCAGAACGTAGAGGCGGTCGCCCTTGGAGAACTTGAGGGTGGTGAAGCTGGACGGACAGTAGTCCTTAATGGCGATGACTTCCCTGGCAGCGCCGAAGGAAGCGGTGGCATCCAATCGCAAGGCACTGGGAGAAGGCACTGAAAAACAAAGAATGATTTCAATCAGAGGTGGAATTAAAGTCTAATACGTTTATTTTGTAAGTTTATGTATGGGCATAACTGCCTCCATGTGCAAGAAATCCATCACTAATACCAAAGAAACATACAGCCCATATCCCATTTAGCTGTTATCGCATCCAAATACTTCCAGATAAACAAAGACATCCAATCTGTTGGAGAACAAAAAAGGAGGAAAAAAAGTCTGCTTTTTGAATTCATGCTTCTTATCTATACTTTCAAGCAATTTCTGTATGGCCCGTACTGGCAAATACACACTTATCTTAAGTCACTTCCAGATTCAGATTACATATCAGGTAATCCATTTCTAATTAAACCAGGAAGCATATTCAGAAGTTCCTCTAGCACACATGAGGAAAGAAACATGAGAAAAAGGCATTATCCCCCCCCAAAACATATATATATATATATATATATGTTAAAAATTAAAGTAAATAAAATCCATAAATATTAGCAGATGTTACATACATACTGCAAACCAGAATTTCTTTTTTTCAAAGAGCGAATGTAAATGTTAAAGCTCTTGAACAACCTTTTACATCTGTAAGAGTGGCTTCTGACACTCCGTCGCTCAGATCGATGAGCGTCCCCTCAGACTTGCAGCGAGGGAGAGAGGCATTGTTGTTGGTGGTGGCTCTGATCCGATGGGCGGCCATGTTGGGGCCCTTCCACTGTGCACCATGCAGTGAGTTCAGGCTGTTGTGAAGTACTTGTTGTTTATGGCAAATTCAGAAGTCAACAGCTGCCCATGATCTCTGAAAGACACAAAAAGCTCGGTTACAAATAATTCCAAGTTACAATGACTGTTATTTACCCATCAGAATGTTTGAAACTAAGGGCTGATTTCATAAAAGATCCTTGAACTGTTGCTGTCCTTCTTTTTGTTTCCTGCAATATACATCCAATTATATATTGAAATTACATAAGTACATTTATCATCTGTTTTATAAATTTGATATTCTTTCAATTTTTGTGTTTAAAATCCAACAAGGAGATTTAAAAAAAAAAATCTCTATTAAAAAATTCTAGAACCATGCAGAGTTTTGGCCTTATTGTGGATTTTAACGTTATAATGTTACTGTATTACATTAAAAATGAATCCACTTGGTAAATAACTTTTTGTACTGGTGGTTAGAATCAAATACTTATTATAGTATAATGACTGATAATAAAGGAACAGGCCGCCCAGTGGAAGAATAACATGCTGTAATGTGTTTTTGTTTTTACAAATATGGGATGAAGCCTGTCTAGACTGCAGGCAGAGCAGATTTGTGTATCGATGGTTGCATTTGGAGCAGACTGTATACTCTCTGGTTTTTCATGAGATCAGATTGTATCTGTCCTCCTCAGAATCCCCACAATGCTTCTAACTTTGTGCACATGTGACTTCACATTAGGAGTCTCTTCAAGTCTTCAAGGCTCTTCTTCCACACGCCAACAAAAAAATATTTTCAAAATAACAGGATTAACAGAACGTAAACAACAGATAAGGGTCAGTGGAACGATGAAGTTTGACAGTTACAAGATTTCACCTCTATTCATAATTCATGATAGTTTACAACTAACATACTTCTGCAGTGGAGACAAACTGCCAACATCACCCCCAAAGCTGAACTTCTTTGTCATAAATCATCATTGCCGACTTCAACATACCGCTCTTAGCACACTAGTCAGTTCTGCTTTAAAAGAAGGACATCCTCATGTTTTCCTTGCATTTATATGGTTGCTGAATCACTTTGTTCCTCCCTCAAAACAGTAACATTACAGTTATTGTACAGAGAAGGCACACACACACACACACACACACATATGCTGATGACTAAAAAGAGCACTGAGGTTCAACCATCTGCTCGGCTCTTTTTTTCTGCTTTGGTGTTTGTTTTAGGCCACAAAACAAGAACTGTCTGTCTTATGACTTCCCACTGCCTGGTACTGGCATTTAACGCTTCAGCAAAAATACCCCGTAATGCTTTTAAAAGTGTAAACGGCCCATTAAAACTGAAGCTGAATTATTATTTTGGCATATAAGTCCTGCAGTGTCAGCGATTGTATTGTATATGACTCCCCATAAACCGGCGTGCAAAGTGCTGCAGACTTATTAGCTGACAAACACAATCCTATTGTCTGATATGAACTGCTTGTAATGACTCTGGATCCACTCGATGCTGGCAGAGGAATACCCAGTTTCCCTTTCTTCCAATGCGTGCGTTATCTGTCGGCAAAGAGGAGACCTCCCTATCTGGCGACCAGCAGAAACACCTGGCGACGGTGCTCGCTCTCATTTGGACGCTCCGTTCGGGATAAAAGGTTAATCCGGCGTGCGTGCCTCTGGGCTGTGGGACGAAAAAGCACCCAGATAAAAAACCCCGAAGGCACAAAGAGAACGAGTAGACATCACACTGGAGCTGTTGTTAGAGCAGAGGCAGCTCAGTTCGTCTGAAGGACATCTACACTTATGTCACTAAACAGTTAATTGGTAAAAGCTTTTTGTTTTCCGGCCATATAAAAGCAAATTTTTTCGTCTTACTTTTGAAATTGTGTCTCACAGCCTCACTGTTTTGGATGGCTTCGGTTGAGACGGTAAATGCATTTTCATACGTGAACAACAGCCATTATTTAAAAAGCCAGGGTAGAGGTTTTCTTGAGAGTTCTCTGTCGACGCATGCTCGTCTCAGTGGGAGGCTTTCGGTGGAAAATGTTTTCTCACAGCTGGAAATACTCCGGGAAAGTGGCTGGGTGGAGTGCACAGGAGGAAAAGAATTATGTAAAAATTATACAGCAGATAACAAGGTTATCTATTTTGAGCACATTGATAATCGGCCAACAAGGTTCTCCATGTAAAATGATTATTTGGTTTCGATGGAGGAGGTATCAGGACATTGTAGCTGCTGAACTGACCAGGTTATTCCTCCCTTGCTATTGATGAAAATATACCATTGACACTGGTCTATTTATTTTATATTATGGCACATTAACTTCCTCATGATGTCTTCCTGCCGTGAAGGTTTTGATAACTGTTGTGCAATTTTTATTTTAAAGAGCTTCAGAGGTGCTATCAATGCATCTGGGTGGCTTATTAGCAGGATGCTAAAAGACTCTGGACCCTATGCAGCGACTGGCAAAAAGTCCTCCGTCCTGAAACTGGTGGAACAGTAAGTGTCGATCAGGAGGAAAAGCAAAATGTCAAATGAGAAAAGAAGCCCACCAGATGATTCAACAGCTTCTGAAAGATCTTTAGTGGAGATTATTTTCTGTATGATGTCATCAGTCTAATGTTTTTGTAGGGGAATTTTTGCTAACTGTGGCCTGTCAAGCCGCTATTTTTCCCCAGTTTGCTGGGATTTCTGCTCCTGGAGAGACGTTCGGTTGTTTTGGATGTTTACTACTTGTGAGTAATCGTTCATGCTCTGAGCTGAACTCAGAATCCTTTGGAAACGGCTTTTGAAGCCTTTTCCAGATTTCACATTTGCTGGTGTCTTTCCTCCTTGGCGTTGTGCCAACACACACCTGAAAGCTCCAGAGCAGCCAACTGCTAACACCTTTGTTTTTATGAATCCATCCAAGTTTCTTTCTCTCCCATAAAGTTCCTAAAGACTTATCTAGATTAAAAACATGTATCAGCTATCTTGGCTTTCATCGAAAACTGTCCGTGTGCAACAGGGGAACCCGTGCTGCGGGTTAAGCCGTGAGTAGCGTTCACTGTTGACATCATCCTGATGCTACCGGCTTCTGCTGAGCAGCGTGGCGTCTGGAAGCCATCTCTTTGAGGATCTGGGGCGGGGGGGCGACGGCAGGGATGCGATGGGGTCGGACATAAACTTTGGGTGGTCCGCCACGGCGGCAGATATCCAAACCTCCGCCTGGCCACCCTGCGCTGTTTAACTGCCCCGCAAAAACAATGACGGGCGGGCTCCCTCCGGCATGTAAATCAAGAGAAAGCGCAACAACAACAGCAAGAAAGCTCTGTGATGCAAATGAGCGCACGTTGCCGGGTAATAAGGCACTCGGAGAGGCTGTAATGAGGCGCAGCTGCTCCAAATACCTGCACGTCACAGACTCTTCCTCCTAGCTTAGCATTTCTGCGGAGTTTAATCGCGTCACTGTCATTGAAAGAGTTTTAGAACTTGTGAAGTTTACGTTAAAACAATGCCGCGTCTCTTAAGAGACGTAACCGATTTCCCCCCTTGAGCCAAAACGCTAATCCCGTTCGTCAGATTTCACGTGGCTATCTGGAGCCTAATGGTGAAGAGCTTCTCTCTGCAGGAGAGTGGGCTCTTTGAGGAGTCTGCCTTCACTAAACTATGTCGAGATAAGTCCGTATGAAGAGAGACGTAGTGTGTAGATAACAAATTCCAGGAATCCTGACATCAAGAAGGAATGAGAGTAGAGAGCCGCCCCCAGCCTCTAATAATCTTTTCATGCAAGTAGATCAGTGCCCAGGGTTTTTTTTTTCCTTGTCTTGTCAGAAAATCTGAATTTTTATTCAATTTCAACCTTCAAAAAGAATGGTCGGATAAGAAGAACAGCCTATATGGACATGCACAGTTAAGCTCCGGTTAAAGCCGACCGGGCCTTTATGCTTGCCTCAGTATTCGTGCCTGGGAGCGGAATCAAGTCACTGACTGATGTGCGAACGCTGGTTTCACTCTTTTCTGTCTCCTGTTGCTCAAAGCGACAAGCAGCTCCACGACAGAACTGCGATTTTGTGCTCCAATACTCGAGATGGGTACCCGCACAATGTTCCACAGGTTGATCGGTGTGTTTTACTTCACGTTTCCACGGCTGGAGCTGCAATTTAAAATGACTAATTATCCCGGAGAGAGCAATTTCCCCTCTTTCGTCGAAGCTTAAACAGAACAAATCTTCACGGTGGCATTAAGAGGCAATAAACCCCGAGATTATTTACACAGAGCATTTATAAGCCCCTTGATCGTCTGCATCGGACTGCTGAGCTGGCTGCCAGGAGATTATTCGGTCATTTCTTTTGTTTGCTGCCTTTCTCTGTCGGGCCGTTAAACAGGTAAGCCAAGCACAGTCGGCCCCGTTAACCAATTAAAACCGGAGGCAGCATCTCCAGTTGCCGCTGGGAGCAAATAAGGTAAAACCCAGCATGGGGAAGGCCTGTCCCTTAAGGGGGGGGAAGCCTTTCCATGACGACCGCCCAATCGCATAGGAGGGACTCCACCAAAATGAACTAAAACTGTGAATTTACTTTGAATTTCTCCTCTCCCCGTCAGCGGGCAGCAGGAATGGCAGCCGGCTGACCCCGCTGAGGCACCATAAACCCATTTTCACACTTCAATTCACCGGAGCGCCCGTAAGAAAACGTCTCGCTGTTAGCAGGGGAGAGGAGAAAAAAAAAAAAACGAAAAAGTCACTCGATCTTTCCTTCACGGTCCCTGCAGAGGAAGTGCTCCGCTGGGCTGTCATCCGTGGCCCCCCCCCTCGCCCCCTCCCCCCCCCTTTTATTCGGATCCTCGCTTCCTGTAGGGTGGGTGTCCCTCAGGAGAGCGCTGGTGGTAAATGGTTTTAATTACAGATTCGTGGAGAAAAACACAAAGCCCCTTTGAGCTGCTGACGGGACAAAGCAGGACGCTCTCATCTTAGAGGAGAGGATGAATGTTTTAATGCCTTCTTCCAAATTAAAGTCTGGTTATGAATGTGCGTCTAGTTTTTCTTTTCTTGTTTTACGAATTACGTTGTTTGTGTCAGAAACAGTTTTAAAAAAGCTCATTAAATAGATCAGAATAGATCCCC